TATATATATATATATATATATCTTGGGCATTTTAAACATATCTGAATTATTCAAATTTCACAACTTAGGAAATTTAGCAGGGAATTTAAATATTTCATAATTTTTTGAGGTCAGAAATATAGCATGTACCAATTTTGAAGTATTGAATTTCTATATTTATATTTATTTGCATATATTTGTTATTGTTATTTTTTATTATTTCTATTTATATATTGCTATTTGAATTCATATTTTTATATCATGCATTTACATGTTTACCTTAAAAGGCCAATACTCTCTGGGAAAAGCTTCACTATTAGCGTTGGCTATTTGGTCTCTCCCCGGCTGTGGCAGATACTGTTATATTACTTTGTGTGTCTTTTTTTATGTACTTAAATATTTATTATCATTTTGTATTATTATTGTTGGTGTTGTTTACCCAAACTATTATAAAATATTTAAAAAAAATACTAAACTATAGTTACTAAATTGTGAAGTGTATTGTTATTTTATCTCCTAGACTTTACCGCGCATGCTGAGCCAAATGGCGCCCCCATTCTCCTTGAGCAGTTGCAGCTTTACTGTAGAGAAGGGTAAGGAGTCGACTGCCAGGGTTGTGGTTTGGCGTGAGATTGGTGTGCTTCGGAGTTACACAATGGAAAGCACATACTGTGGATGTGATCAAGGCCCGTACAAGGTGTGCAAACCATCTAATAATTTGCAACAGATTGTGTCAGATAAAGGCCATAGATCTTCAATGGCAGATCCAAAGATGTCCAATAGGAGGGCCCAATCGGGACACAACACTACCCCAGGGGGTCCGGGGCATGTCCAGATGAAATTTTTGTTTTCTAAATGCCCAGAAATAACCTCTGAAACGTTTTGGGCAATCAACAATTTCTTTTTCTTTCTTTTTTTTCTTTCTAAAAGTGGGGGGCACAGGGCCAGCTCGCCCCTCCCCCATCCTCCCCCTGGATCCCAGTAGACATTAGTTGTTTATTGTGGTTACCTGCATTCCATTGATTTTTTTTATTTTATTTACTAAGGATCATTAGTAGGGCCTTGAACTGTAAAATGTCTTTCTTAAATACTTTGATAATCCAGACACTTATTAGAGTCACAAGCATTGTTACATGTATATTTAAAAACATTGGTATGTCATATATATTATATTAAAATAATTTAAAAATATTCTTTTCCTGATATTATGGTGTAAAAAGTAATTGATAAAACCTTTTACCATCAGTCTGGAATGGTATAAAAACAAACCTTGAACTCACAAAATATATATTTTTTTCAATTATTAGGGTCTCCAAATCAGTACTGCCATGTTGGAAGAGATGGGACAGAAGTTTTGTGAGAGTCTGATGAAACTGAAGCAGCACCATACATCAAAGACAACACACATTCAACCAGTCTACCAATATATACTCACTTCATCAGAGAAAGAAGATGATAGGTATGTAGTGACAAGTGTCCACCTACTATTAATAATATTTTGTAATTTGACCATCCAATAGGTTTAAATTCCACCATTATTGAGGCTTGCCATCCCAAGACCAGCCAGTGGTGGCTCTAGGATATATTTTGAGAGGGTGTTCCCCCTCCCAAATAAGATGTTTTAAAGAATATGAACCTCTGGGTGGCTAGAAATGACACTCTCTGATTGTGACAGACATGTGTTGGCCTGGCGGTTGGCCTATTTTTATAAATTTTTTATTCCCACTGCCCGACGAGCTCTGTCAAATGGGGGGGGGGGGCTTAAGCCCCTGCTGCCCCCCCCCCTTAGCTGGCGCCGCCACTGAGACCAGCGTACTGTTGTTACTCTATATGTTAAACTGAGTAATTAGCTTAAGAATGTGGCAGTATACTTTCGTACAGAGAAACTGTAATACCTTTACTCATAACTTTGGCAATAGTAAGTCAATTCCAGTAAATGACATTTTAAATCTTATAATGTGGAGAATATGAATATATTAAAAAGTGAATTTTAATTCTTTGGTCACTGATGGTGGTTTTGGGATGGCATGCCTCATAATATATGGTGAAATTTTACTTTTTGTATTCTCAAATAACAGAATATTTAAGGTCAAATATTAACATGTTTTAAAGTCAGTCTCATAATGTGTACTGATACACAATAATAGCAGGAACATTAGTAATTAGAGCAGACACTTCATAAAGTGCATACCTCCTCCCTGTTCCTGAATACCGAACAATACGCAGGCTGTGTATGGGCGATTCCATTATTTTCTTTTATGCTTGGGGGTAAAACATCAAATTTCCTTGATCTTGACCCTGTCCTTCATCCTTTTCTTCTCAAAAGTTAATCATCTCTTTCTTAGGTTATTATGTACCATTCCACTAAATTTTATGATGATCAATTCCTTAGTTTTTGCTTTCTTGCTAACAGACAAACAGGGTGAATGTATAACTTCCTTGGGGGAGGTAATAATTATTATACTAAAAATAATAAGTTACATTTATATACCACCTTACACCGAGAACACTACCAAAATGTTAACGATTATTACATCTAGCATAGAAAATTTATTTATTTTTTTCAGTTATTGTGAGATAGAATGGTTTCCTAATAACAGTGATTTTAATGACAATTTGTAAATACAATTATTTACAGTTTGGAAGACACTCCGTTATCACCTCCAACTCCGACCCCATCTGCTAGAGACATTGCTGCTGATGAAGATGACCTCAGTTTAGATGAGGACGGCGATGAAAGTGATAATGAGGAAGAAGATGATGCAGCCGTTGTTGGTATCCCCATTGACACTACGAAGCCAAAATCATCACCAACGAACAGGAATGAATACTCATCATAACCAAATGTTTGAGATGTTAAATTATAATTGGAGGTTCCCATGATACATCAAGTTACATAGTACTGGTACAAAGATTTCTCGGACGTGAATGAGTAGGCTTTGCATTTGCTATGAACATCATCACCTGGTGGCTACCAGTTTGTTGATAACTGGTAAAACGTACGTTGAAACTTCCCCATATGATGGTTGCATCTAACATCCATTACCTGTGGCAGAACTAGTATGTTGGCCAATCACATATTGTACACATGAAGTTTTTTTGCATGCAAAATCTGTTACTTGAGCTACAGTAGCTAGTGGCTGTAACTGAGGTGGGAAAATTTGGCTAAGAACAGGTTGCAACCACTCTTGATTGTTGGTTGCATGTAGCATTTGTTACTGTATTTGCAGCTGTGCATGCATGTTGGCCAAACACAAGTTGCAACCATGCTTGTGTGATGGTTGCATGCGACAGTAGCTAATTGAACAGTTCGTCAAAAAATCCAACTCTTGGTATTTCGTTGGAATGCAATCCTCCCTCAAAAGTACTACCACGAACTAGAGGGCGTCCTTTAAAAAAGCGCAAAGCTGTTCGTTTCGAATGCGTGCTGTGTCTAAAAAACACATATTCAAGATTCAAACTCTATTCAAATTCTAATAGGGTGCCCCCTATCTCTCATGGTAGTACTGTTTTTAAACGTAACGTTGCATGCATAGAAAATCAGCTCAATCAAATATCTTGCAGTTCTATGCTCTTTGAGGTCATGCTGGCAGTGCTTTGCTGCCTATGTACTATTGCTGCAACTTTTTGTCTGACTTTTAGCCTTCTAATAGTCTGTACTCTTAGAATAAAGGTGCTATTGAAATTCCTGTGGTAGTACCGTGTACATTGTTTTGTCTTATTCATACAGTAATTTGAATGTAAAGTGATTTTAGGATTATTTTAAGAACAAAATGTTACTTTCACAAGCAAGATGGAGGTGGATTAATTGATTTTATTAAAACACTAAACACTTACCAGCAAAATAAGTACTAGTTTAGAAACTCTTCTGAATCTGTTTTTACTAGGATAGGAATTTACGGAGTGGTAGGCCTACCAGTTTGGCAAGCGTTGGTGGTTAATATATATTTTAAGGTAAAATAGCTAAAAGCAAGTGGGTTTTATTTATTAAATACATTTTATGGCAATTCTGTACTACATTAAAGAGAATAATGATTAATAGTATTGTTCTAGTTTCAAGTACTTATTTGTGATTGTCTGGTTTTGGTATATATATATATACTACATAGTAAAATATAGGCATTCGTTTGTTGGAATGTTATTATATGTATGCCTTTTCTAGGATATTAAACTTGAGTACTAGTACTTGGTAAACAGTGTGAAAATTAACGTAGTTACAAGTTTGTTTCTATACTTCCCCATTGTAGTGTGTACTACTAAAGTTGTAGTAGTTTGAGTGCTCATATAGTTTGCATGTCGATAGCTACGGAAGACCTCACTAGCAATATCAATTCATAGTTTAGACGGAGCACTACTCTATTGTACTACTGTATTGTACTACAACATATTTACAAGTTAAAATTGTGTGTAAAACATTACAAAAAGAGTATACATTGATAGAATAGAAATTTTAAAAGATTCTTCCTTTATAAATTTAAACATCCTGTGCTCTACATTCTGTGATTGGTTATGATGTAGACTCTGTACTAGTAGTTAGATACAGTAATTTAAATAATATGGACATGCTAGCTGAATGTTCTCTAGAGCTTGTGTGATTTTGATTTCTTGACTGCATAGGGGAGGATTATTATCTTGCTATTATATTATATTGTTAAACAATATGTCACTAAATTGTTTTCTTTGTTTTGAAGATGTCAGTAAAATAAATACATTTTATGAGATAGTTATATAAAAAAAAATAATCAAAGATGAAATAATATTATTTATTTTATTACTTATTTAGCAAATTATTTTTTCCATATTTTAAGTGTATGAAAGTGAGAGTTGTATTATAGAGAAGAAAAGAATGAACTGATGTTTTTGAGTTATGAAGTAGGGTATTGGGATTTATTTAGACAGGTCAATGAATAGAGAATGCCATATCAGCGGTGTTTAGGATGAGAAGAGTATTCAGTGTTCATAGCAGTTAATTTTTTCACTTATTAGAAGTGTCTTTCATGAAGAGCTAGGAAAAAGTGTGTTTTTTTTTTACATTTTGTAACGTTTGTATTTATTTACTTTTCTAACGATTCATTCCATTGTTTTAAATATTCTTTTTTAAATATTAGTGTTTGTTTTTGATTATTAATTTTAAATGAAAATATAGGTTATATTTACTGTTTTGGAGATATATTTGCTTCGGAAAAATACAGTATTAGTTTTAATGAAACGAAATTAGATAACTATCTGTAAATTGTAATTCTTGCAGTGATTGTATCGCGAATATAATGGAAAATAAAGTAAAAGAGAAAAGTATTACAGTATATTGTCTTTTATTTTATCAGTGGTGTTAGCATAATTTTTATCGATTGTTATGGTCTTAATTTACATCAGTAGTTGACTATATGACTGTAATTGCCTCTGTCTATGTCATCATCAGTAGATAAAACCACTGGTTAGCTGTATTAACGTTTCGGTGAGATTGCTCTGACCGTCATCAGGAGAATGATAAAAGATGACTTCTGTTGGTTCTCAATAGAGATGGTGATCGTCACTGATCCATTGTTTTGGAAACAATCGTCAAGTTAATACAGCCAGCTTGTCATCTTTTACTTTAGACACTGACGCTCATGGGGTCAATCCGTGGTTAAAAGTCCGCCGCCCATTGAGGGTCCATGTACAACGCTCCGATGGGTTGAGGTGCGAATCCCCCCCCCCCCGGTAGCTCAGGCATTATTTTTATTTATTTACTTATTTATTTTTGCATAAAAACAGACTCATATCAATCCCAGATTGCAAACCTGTGAGCTTACAAACAAAAACAATAAACAGTTAAACAAGAAACAAAAAGGACAAATAAAATTCACATTAAATGATTAAAGCAATACAGTAGTATTTACTCATTACGTAATCACAAGTTCACACAGTAAAATGTATAAGAAAAAAGTCGCATAATAAATTAAGGAAATTCTTGCTATCAACAATTATTATCAAAACCCTCTTTCTGTCACCAAATACCGTACCAAAACCTACGATCAATGTTCTTTCACTTTACTTCTGCCTTCAATTCAATTCAATTAACATTTATTCAATTAATTAATCAAATACATCAAATGATAAATATAGTGGATAACATTAAAATTAAGTAATTAGGATAAAAAATAGAAGCGAAGCTTGTCTCAATTTGACCCCGACAAAACAAAAAGTAAACTAGCTTCCAAATAACATAACCTCTTCCAAATCTATTTGCAACTTAAGACATCTTTGTTTTCCGGGGGAATATATTATTATATGAATGTCAAAATAGTATGAATGAGACATATGAATCTACTAGTAAGGCCTATGACGATGATTATCAAATTTGCAGCTATTATACAATTAAGTTATTGATTTTAAGGATACGTTTTAAGAATATTCATCATAAAAAAACTAGTATATACTATCTCAAAAGAAGCACTATCTATCTTGATTTAAAAAAGATGGTTTTCAGATGGATTTGTGTTCAATTGGGACCTATGGATCCCACGAATATTCTACAGGTAATGACAAATGCAACTTGAAAACTAGGCTTAAATAATGTTAACTTACATGATACCCAAATTAGGCCAATGAATCGAATCTGGGAAAATTTAAACTTTTAAACGCTGAGAAAATTATGTTAAACAATTGTTTAAACATAATCGGTATTTTCATGTTCCCTAGGTAATTTAATAATCAACAGGAAAATGACTAGGTGAAAAATTGGCGAATTTCTGCAAAAACGCAGAGGGAAGGCCACCTATATAGCTCACGATATGAAGGATAATTTTTACCCCCTCCATTTCCGGCTGTTTTTTGTTCTGCTAGACGGATCACATCAATAGTTTGTTACTCTGCAGGTTGACAAATACAACGTGTAAACTAGTTTTAAGAAGATTAAATAATGTTAAATTGGATCATACGTGTCCAAATATGGGAAAACTAAAACATTTGAACGCAAAGAAAATGGTTAAATCCAAACATGATTCTTAGGTACCATAAGTATTTTTGGGATGATTTTTTGATCCCGCCATTTCCGGTTTTTTGTTGTGTTCTGTTGGGACCTACAATAACTCTACAGCAGGTTGACGAATGCAACTTCAAACCCAGTTTTGAGCTTAAAGAATGTTAGATCTGTATCTCATTTATTAGGCCCATATGTCCGAATATGAAAAAAAAAATTAATCTCTAAGAAAATAATGTTGAACAAGGTTAGATCAAATGCTTATACTGTACTTGCATTACATCCCTTCAGTTGAAACACATGCAGAGTAGACTGGAATTGAACTGGGTGGCACCAAAAAGTTGAACAATGGATCCAAGAAAATACCACACAATAACACAATAGCACATTAAAAAATCGCCCGCCCTGGCAGCGCTGGGGTTGAAGTAGCTTCTGGACCGCAGGTCGTCTCAGCAGAAAATTTGCCCAGAAATCAAGTATTGTTCGCAGGTTTTGTCATTGGTTTCAAACCTCCAACAACACTTTATTAATGTGTCTCCGTACTCCAACAAAGTTTGAAACAGGTATTCCTAGAACAGAAAGATTTAAAAATAGCCCTAGAGCTTTTCTCACCACTCAATCAAATAAGTTAATTGCTTTCTGGGTTTTCTTTCTGCGAATGTCACCACGTCATAGTTAGGCCTACCACCAACCTGAGGGATTTGAAGTGCGTGAGTGACAGTTGGCTGGGAGGGGGTGGTCCAAGGGGAAGGGGGTGGTCCAAGGGGAAGGGGCCACGCCTCCCGCCGCTCTGACGATCTGAGCATTTTTAAGCTGTTTTAAAACGATTTCAGGAAGTGTTTGTTGATAATACGGGCACGCAAGCAAAAATATAATTAATAAATCCACGTACAATTTGAGTTTCAATGTAGGCCTATGTTTAATTTGAGCACCCGAACTATGTATACCTACACAAACATTTTATATTTTTAATAAAACCAATTTCTTTTAATTTTAAATACATTTTCCCCTGAATTCGTGATATTAGTTATTACGAATAGACTTGTGTTAAATGCGTGACAAATTTAGGATCACGCATGTGTTTCTGCAAAATGCGGGTTTCATCCAAGTCACTTTGAAATGCGGGTTCCGCACGATGCGAGACGGTTGGTAACCATGCCACGTGCTCCGGCCCTGGTGTTGTTTTGGGTGCGTTGTCACGTCGATTACTTACAGTGCCAGCTGTGGTTAACATAAGCAAGAATTTAATCCAATGAAACTGTTTATCATATTGATACCTTCCGACGAAAATTGACCCTACCGGCGTCACCACGGCGTCCCCATTGATCGATCTGACGTGACGTTGTTATGTGGGTGTTTTACAGATTATTGAGAATGGTAATATCACCGAAAAAATAGATAAAATGACAGATGAATGACCAACAAAGACAACTGAATACAATAGTTTGTCATTATAAGTTATTTAGTATAACTTTATTCGGAAAATAATTCTCAAAATCGAGTTGCCGTCCCCGGCGTTGTCAGTGACGTCGTATGATTTGTGTGCGGTTTTTACCAATTAACCCATAATTAAAAACTAGTTAAGCCATGTAGTACCTTGCAAGTCAACCCAGAAACCCGGTAATTTGTTGATTGTTTATTGGTAGCGTCCCTTTGCTGCCAACAATAGTTTTTTGGCAGTTGCTTCCCCGGTGACACCGTGAGGGCATTGTGAAGGCTGGTTACGATTTGGTGGCACATAGTTTGAGTATTTTCATTCATCTGGTCATGTGGTCAAGTCAGAAGCTTATCTAGATGTCTTGAAAATCTGTGAGTGCCATTTCTAGCCATCTAGCGGTGCCATAATCATGATGTCTTGGAAATCTGTGAGTGCCATTTCTAGCCATCTAGAGGTGCCATAATCATGATGTCTTGGAAATCTGTGAGTGCCATTTCTAGCCATCTAGAGGTGCCATAATCATGATGTCTTGGAAATCTGTGAGTGCCCCCTGTCGCCCGACGCACGACTAAGTCGTCGGACCAAAGATTTAAAAAACAATTTTCCTATCTAAATAACGTTGTTTGACTGCCAATCCCTATTATTGTGGTCTAAAAGCACATTTTGGACCATACTAAGCCATAAAAAACTCTCCCCGTGAACCCTACAAAGGAGTTTTTATTCTGGGCCGTCGACCGAGGCTTTGTCGAACCTTTGACTCGGACCCCTCCGTCGGACATATTGGACCCCTTGTCGGAAATTTTTTGGCACCACCGCTGCCCCGCCCACCCCACGTCTACAATTTGTCTTCCAAAACAAACATTACGTTTTCTCTTCGCATGACCCCGCCCAATCAGGGTCCCCATGTGCGGTTCATAGACAACTGTCGCCGATAGGATGAGCGATTTTATGGAAACCGAGCTGAACTCTGGATCCGCGCCTGTATTCTCAATATTTTCTGCCCTCAGGCCCAACCCTGGTGAGGGCTTAGGTGGACGCAACGCCTACCGCCAAATCGTGCATCCGCCCCAGAAAATCACGATAGAAATCTTCGTAATAAGAATAATATCACCCAACTTATAAAACGAAACGTTTCACAAATAGCCCAATTTCCATAAGACATCAAACTTATTTATCAATAGTAAACATGACACGGTGAGATTCCCCTCTTTTTTTCATATTGGATATAATTTTATTTTTGATTAATTTTTCTTTTTTTTTTTGTATTTTTCTGATGTTCAAATATTTTAACTGATTCTTAAATTTTCTTTATAATGAATTACTAAATATTCATACATATGCATGAACTTGTACGCTAACGCCTTTGTTTATGAAGTGGAAGAAAAGACTTTGCAGCACCTGGAGTTAAAGTAGATTATTTCAGTAATGTAAACGCCGTATCTTCAGTATGTTTGTTTGGAGCACATAATTTCGTCCCTGGTAAGTACTCATTCGTTAGGTGCTAAGTAACTTATTCTGAAAAATAGGTCATAAAAATGTCCTTGGGAGTGGTTCAGAAACCAAATAAACTCGTTGCGGCGCCAGAACGGGTGCTCAATCTACTGTATTTCTTCTACTCTACATAGATATGCCTGCCCTTGGTCAAGGTTCCGCTGCGAGTTTTAACTAAGAAGGCCGACTCTGGGCACAGGGCCTAACACTAACCGCAGTCACGTTATCTTATGCACTAGACCTATGGGATGTCAGGAAGTTAGAAACTAATATTTCATGGTACACATTTTTACCTATGAATACAAGTCCTTAGAACAGTTGCAAAAGCAGATTTTTTAAGCCACACCAAACCTATTTTTACTCATTTTAAACTTTCAATATTTTCGATCTTATTGAACTGAACATTTCTCTTGCAATGTATAAAGCACATAAGGAATTAATTCCACCAATTATTCAGGGATATTTTAAGCAATTAGGCAAAAGCATAATTATGCTACACGACAGCGGGAACATTTTAATTTTAATATTAACTATAGGAGAACAACACTAAAATCAATGTGCTTGACAAATAAAGGGGTTTGTTTATGGAACAGTCCACCTATAGTAGTATTAAAGATTTTAGAAATATTATTTTATTTTAAAAATATACAAAAAGAACTGCAGTCTGTGTTTTTATATACTGCAAAAAATGTTATTTTCACTTAACATAAATTTAGCCGTTAACACTGTTAAATTATAAATAAATCCTGTCTCTTATACACATCTAGATGTGTATAAGAGACAGTATATATACATATATATATAAGAAGACGCAGACACAATAAACTGCTACGATACTTTGACTTGTAGTCAAATAATAATAATAATAATGATAATAATAAGGCGATAATAATAAAAGGGCAAGTAGACGCATAACAAAAATGGCATGAAGGAATAAAAGATTATATAAAATATGATATGAAATATGACATGTACATTATATAATACTGTAAAATATAACGATATAATGAAGTGAGTTATTGGAAAAAGTCACTTTATCCAGATATTATATAATAAATAGAGTATAGACTAGATGGATAAAAACATATTTACTTATTAGCGAAAGTGAAGTCATGAATATGAATCCAAGGTCTTTATTAGCACCTGACTTGTGTGTTTTAAATTTAAGTCTTTGCACAACGCCTTTCATTACTAAAATGAATTGTATGCAGTTAATATTATAGTGATTTTATTAAAATGTTTAGCAATCGGTAAATTATATTTGTTTTTAATTGATGACTTATGATTATTACACATGTTTCTAAAGGAGCAACCTGTCTCCCCGACATAGCATACCCCATCACAAACCGTGCACCATATGAAATGGAAATTCAAATGTAAAATTTGTAGTAAAGTTTTAATACATTAAATAATGTTTATTATCTTCATAGTATTTGTCTAATATTTTAGTATCAAAAATACCAGAAATTAAGTAAACGTAAATATTTTATATGTACTCTATTAATGAAATTTAGTATTTAATTTTGTTATTACAGTAAATAAATAACCTGTTCAATTAAATATTGTACTTTAATTAGATTGTGTTCACTATTATAGAAATATAGGCCTACAGGTTTTACTACAATTCAATCAAAACAGACAAAAATATATTTAAAAAAAGCAAACTTTAACTTTCTGAAAATACCATCACTTATAAAGCAACTTTAAATGTTAAGGCCAATGTCACACTTTGTGGCCCAACTTGATGGAATAACCCATATATGAAAATTATGTTTTTAACAAACATACTGGCAACAGTACAGTATATCAACATATTCAAACCAATTGAATATAAGTACTTTTTCATTACTTATGCTCCTAAGTATGAATCGCCATAAAAACAAAGAAGAACAAGTTTTCATATGTCATCGGACCCCCAGCCACCGCGGACTACGCAAAGGTAGTTTTAAAGTTGTTAAATTGATTTGAAAATCATTCACTTCTAAGTAATGGAGATAATGTGCATATAAAGTCCAATTCTTGTAAAACTGGAGTGAAAAATCGAGGGTTTAGGGCCTATAAATGAATCATTTTCCCGTCTCAAAAATTTCGCCGTCTCAGAGATTCTCTATAAGGGATTCGTCCCCTTGGCCCATGCTCAGAAACACGAAATGAGGATGTGTAAGACTGTAAAATATTCTCCACGTAAATTATTAGGCCCAGAAATCCGTTACCGCGTTTACGAAAATATGAGCCAATTTCCACGGATATCCATGCAGAAAATTGAGGCCTTCATAGTAGGAACACAAGTATTTACGATTCTGCGCATCTATTTTTCTAGAAGTTTTCCTGTGCAATTTGAATTTTTTGTATCCTCCGCAAAAAAAAAAAAAAAAAAAAAAAAAA